TTTTGAGATATCATGTTAACAAAAATGGAAGGAAGTAAGAAGATCTCTCGAGAAGCGGATCACCAAAAACGATCTCTGACAATAACAAGAGGCGATCCGCTCGTGAAGAAGAACTAGATTTGAACTCGTAACTGAGGACGAGTTTGGTGGTGATCCGCGGCACTTTAACCCTCAGGAAGCGCACGCGGTGTGGATTGAAAAGATTTATATGCTAAAATATGCTCTAATTAGGCTCCGTTGACAGAGATAAGCCGGGCTTGACTTAAGCCTGGATCACCGTTAGGCCTGGCTTAACTTTGTCGGGCGTTCAGACTACCGGGATTAGCCAGACGCGAGAATTGCATTTTAATGACCTTAACTAGGAAACGTGTTTCGAAACAATGCGCTCGAAACATACGTACGCTCGCTCACTGCACACATAATTGAATGTTGATTGGTCATATTTTTACCCGAAATCAATAGAAGCCCCAAACCCCTTAACTCTGATTAAAGCCCGGCTTAGATATACCCGGTGAGTTGAGCAGGGTTTATCTACCTAGTCTGAAAATAGGCCTTAGTTTTAAAAAAGAGTAATTTTGAGCATTTTAAAAGATTTACGCATGTGTACGCGTACGTCTTGACATCCATGCGCACGGTAGTGATATGAATACACTGCCACAAACCCAAAATATGTAACAAAACGTAATCTCCAACACCAGCACGTGCTGTGCACGTGGAAATGAGCGTAAGGCGCGTAAATGATGGAAAGTTTTGGAAAACTGAAAATGACCTGAAACGTGCTTTGAATTATCTGAAAAGTGATATTCACTGACAATAACAAGAGGTGATCTTACATTAAAGCCTCTTGGAGACGCTATTCAGTCGTCGATTGTTTATTTATTGTCTACACACGAACCTACAAATACAACATGGTGCCAGCGGTGTGATTGGCGATTGAATGTTAGACGGTTCAGCCGTACTAGAACACAGTCACGAGGCGTAAGTTGATAGGGCCCTAACCATTTCGCAGCAGGCCACATAGCAAGGCCAACAGGTATCGACAGTGGTCGCTCGACGTTCAGGCTACCTGTGAGTATTGTACTGATATACATTATGGGTCGGCGTCATCAACAATACATTTCCCTGGCCCACTTCCTCTGGACACTAACGGCGACGTTAGAGAGAATTGGAGATTTTTTAAATCCCAATGGGTCAATTACGCAATTGCAACGGGACTAGCGGCCAAAGAGGCCAAAGTGAGGTAGCTACATTACTGTCTGTCATGGGAAGAGAATGCCATCAAATTTATATGACACTCAAACTGCCTGAAGAAGGTCTTACAACAGACACCATTATTGAAAAGCTTGGAGCTTATTTTGAGCCTGCAACCAATGTAATTTATGAACGATACATATTTAACTCACGGGTTCAAAGGGAAAAAGTTCGTAACTGAGCTGAAACGCTTAAGTGATTCATGTGATTTTGGTGCGCTTAAAGACGATCTCATCCACAATAAAATTGTCATTGGGGTTAGTGATCACAGTTTAAAATCTCGGCTGCTTAGGGAAGCAAAGCTCACGCTAACCCAAACGCTTACAATGGGCCGCAGTGCTGAGGCAACGAGATTACAGCTGAAAAAGATGGTTTGCATTGAGAATCCAATGCCAGTGGACTATGTTAAGAGTAAATTGAATGGTAAAAACACTTATAAGAACACTCAGGGAAAAACTCATGGTAGTAAATCCTAGTCCACAGGTAAAAAGGGAACCCAAACCATGGTCATGAGAACCACCCAAGAAGTAAGTGTCCTGCAAGTGGAGCAAAATGTAATAAATGTAAGAAAACAGGGCATTTCATGAAAGTGTGTCGTAGAACCACTGCAGGTATGCTAGACACCCTAAAGTTGCGGAAGTAAATAATTATGGTAGTGACACAGATGACGATTTTCTGGGTGAAATAAATGTGTTAAATGTTGAGTAGGATGACTGGACCGTCAACATTAAGGTAAACAATGCCAATGTCACTTTTAAAATAGACACAGGTGCTACGGTTAGTGTTGTAGGAGACACTCATGCTTTGGTTAAGCATTTAAAGTTGAACAAGGTTTCACAATGCTTAAAGGGTCCTGGGGGAACACCATTAGAGGTACTCGGGTCATGTAACGTCGCCATGCGTTATAAAAAGAGATCAGTCAGCGATATTATCTATGTTATAAAGAACCAAAAATGGCCTTTATTAAGTAGACACGTATGTTTGTCACTGGGGTTAATTGCCAGAGTCTATGAAGTACATAATGTAGTACATGGCAATGAGGTTTACAAAGAGTTTAAGGGTATGTTTGAAGGCTTAGGTAAACTTAAGGGAGTTAAACACAAAATTACACTTAAGGAAGGTTCTAAACCTGTATGTTTGTATGCCCCTCATAACGTTCCTCACCCACTGTTGCCTAAGGTCAAAGCCGAATTAAAGCGTATCGTTGACCAAGGAGTAATATCTACGATAAATAAGCCAACACCTTGGTGTTCAGGGATGGTGTGTGTGCCAAAACGAGATGGTTCAGTTAGGATCTGTGTTGATCTAAACAAGTCAGTTTTGAGGGAAATTCACCCAATGAGCACTTTGGATTTTAGCCTTGCTAAGCTATCAAAGATTAAGATATTCACAAAACTAGACGCCAATAGTGGTTTTTGGCAAATCCCACTAGATGACTCCACTGAGGAGCTAACTACCTTTCTAACTCCAGTTGGGAGGTTTTGCTTTAATAGGTTACCATTTGGGATCACCTCAGCCCCTGAAATTTTTCAAAGGTCAATGACTGAAGTGTTGGAGGGCATAGATGGTATTATATGTCATATGGACGATATCCTTATTCATAGTGAAAAAAAAACAAGTGCACAAGGAACTTGTCAAGGCAACGTTTGAACGTCTACGCGAATCAGGACTAAGCCTCAACCTTCGCAAATGTCAATTCTCTATGAAAAATATTAAGTTTTTAGGTCACATTATTGACGAAGGAGGCATACACGTTGACCCGGAGAAAACGACAGCGCTATCGCAATACCCACCTCCGAAAGACGTATCAGAAATACGTAGATTCCTTGGCATGGTCAATCACTTAGGAAAATTTATTCCAAGACTTGCGGTGATTAGCGAACCTCGACAACTCCTACGAAAGGATACAGTGTGGTAAGTCAGCGTACTGCATTTGAACACATTAAGAGCATATTTACTTCAACTGACATATTAGCACACTACGACCGAAGTCACGAGACTATCATAGCCACGGATGCCTCTCATTATGGAATAGGCGCGACGCTATTACAGGTACAGGAGAATGGTCAAAGGAAACCGATATGCTACGCGTCACGGTCATTGAGCGTAACTGAGAAGCGGTATGCCGTGATCGAAAAGGAAGCATTGGCGGTCACGTGGGGATGTGACAAATTTGCAGATTACGTCACAGGATTGCAGTTTACGGTTGAAACAGACCACAAGCCCCTTGTTTCATTGTTAATGACTAAGGAACTAGCTAAAATGCCACCCCGTGTTTTACGTTTCCGTTTACGCTTGGCACGATACAACCCGATAATAGTACATGTGCCTGGTATTTTGATTGGTCAAATCTTGGCTGAGTTCAAAATCACCGATGCGTGACTGTCGTAAATCAGTGGCGTACGCTAATCTAGGGTCTGTTGCTGGATTACCGTACGCCAGTGATTGCGCGATAATACTGGCGTTCGCTACGCCGCGCACAAGTTCACACCACTCGATTAACGTTACGCTAGCGTAAGTCGTTGTGTCTGAACATAACCAAAGGCTATGTTCTCACACGGCAGATAACGGTTAGCAGGATCAGGATCCTGCTAACCGTTAGCTGCCGTGCGTCTATATGACAGATCCCGATCCGGATACCAACAATATGATGATCGAATCACTGGCCAATAAGAAACTGGAAATTGTAAACGCGTACTTGTGATTGGTTGATGATAGAAACGCCCTCAACTTGCTACCGATAGCGCTTGCTAACCGTTAGCGTATCCGGATACCGCTAACGGTTAGCGCTAACCGATCGGGCGTTCTCACGCAGGTGCTAACGGTTAGCGCTAACGGTTAGCTCCCGATCCGGATACTAGGGCTCTCGTGAGAACCAGGCTCTGTTATAACTATGGCATCGACATTCTAGGCGCATGTGCGTCCCTACACGCTGAACGTCACAAAAACCATAGCAACCAGACCATAAACCGTCAGCGTACGTGACGAATTACCCACGCGCGTGTTAGTTGCCATGATAATCGCGCGTCGTGCGGTGATTATAAAGGCCGAATGATATTTTGCACTAACATTAGACTGAAAATACATTCTTCATTTCAACATTAATTTTACCAAAATTGTGGTGAATTGTCGTTCATGAGACTCACTTCGCAGAAAAAATTAATAAATGTTCCGTATATACTCAAATGTTCGTTCTCGGCACCTTATGCCAACATTGTCAAAATTACAGATTAATGTTACATAAGTACATGAAATTTTATAAAATTCGTAAAATTTAAATTGCTATAACTTTTCATTTTCTTGGTCAATTTTCACAAATGAAATTGCAGTTTATAGAAGCATTTAACAAGCTCGCGGTAAAAAAAAAATCAGATGTAACAGACATTGCGATGTACTCAAAATTAATAAAATTAAAACTAACACCATAAAACGAATGGCACGCATAGACTAATAATTGACGGCTGTACTCGCAACTAGTATCGGATTGTCGATGCCACAGTGAGGATCAAAGGACTGTACGCACGCGCTATGTTCGAGAGCGGAGATGTGCGTCCTTCTGTTGAATTACCTTGTCCTTATCAAGGGCTCCAGTCGACAAACCAGAGAAAACAGATATAAAGTTTGTCAATGCAGTGGAGGAACTTGCAGAAGCTGCTATAGGGGCTTTGCCAGCAACTGCTCCTCGCATTCGGGAGATTATCAATGCTCAGAAAGCGGACGCGTAATGCCAACAAATACGCGCGTATTGTATGAACGGTTGGTCACCGTATAGACCAAATGTACCATTAATGGACACTTATTGGGAACACAGAGCACATCTCGCAATCGTTGATGACTTATTGCTGTATGATGAACGTATTGTGATACCACGAGTCATGAGATTGGGCATTTTGGGTCGAATCCACCAGGAAAATCTCGGGATAACGAAATGCCGCAACCGAGCACGAATATCCGTTTGGTGGCCGGGTCTTTCTAGCGCTATTGAGGAAATGATCAAGAACTGTAGGACATGCGCAGTACATCGACCTGAAAACATCGAGCCGCTTATACCGTCAGCTTTGCCATCTAGGCCATGGGAGAAGCTTGGTATCGATTTGTTTCATTTTAAGAACAAGGAGTACCATATTGTTGTTGATTATTTTTCAAGATGGGTAGAAGTTTCGCATCTACACGAGATTTCCTCCGCATGCGTGGTGAAAAAGCTAAAGCAGATCTTTGCACAACACGGCATCCCAGAGATCATCATGTCAGATAATGGCCCTCAATTTAGCTCAGAACTCTTTAGTAAATTTATGAAAGAGTATGGATGTACGCATGTGACGAGTTCACCAAGATACCCAAGATCAAATGGAGAGGTAGAACGGGCAGTGAGAACGGTTAAAGGGTTAATGCATTAGAACGATGACCCCTACTTGGCTCTCCTAGCGTACCGAACTTCGCCACTCCTTAACGGATTTTCTCCGAGCGAGTTGTTGATGGGAAGAAGGTTGCGCACATAACTTCCTACTACCGATGCTCAGCTTGCTCCATCTTACTGACAAGGACCAGATGAAGCGAAATTTAAAGCTCGAGAGAATAGCTACAGAGGAAACCAGCAAAGAACCTTTAACGCGAGACAAAACACACGAGTATTACCAGAACTAAGAGATGGGCAAGAAATATATGTACGCGACCAACAGTGTTATGGTAAAGTTGTCGCAAAGCGAAGCGAACCTAGATCTTACATAGTGAAGACAGACAAAGGTATTATAAGACACATTCGTAAAGCCCTGATTGCAACTCCGGAAATAAGACCGGTTAGTTCACGTCGTACAGTTGAAATTGAATTTCACCCGACACCTCAAGGAGATGCAAACCCCTCCACAGTAGTTACGCGTAGTGGGAGAATCTCGAAACCAAGTACGAGGTACAAGGATTATGTGAAGCTTTGGATTGAGGATTGAGTTCAATAGCCTAATGTGAACAAGTTGTTTTAGATTTTAGTGTGTAGGCTAAATGGTAAATAGAAAACATTCTACTGTATGATTCTCACAATTTTAATATATCAACATGGCTTAGAAAGGGGGATGTAGGAATATCCACCCTCTGATGATAATGTCTAGGGTAACTGCGCATTCTATAATAGGGACACATGGTTTACGATCGCTCTCTGCTGCTAGCCTAGGTAGCCATCTTACATTAAAGCCTCTTGGAGACACTATTCAGTCGTCGATTGTTTATTTATTGTCTACACACGAACCTACAAATACAACAAATACATAACTTGCTTTTGCAGAGGTAGAAATCGTTGCCATTATCCATAAGTAGACCAGGCTAATTGACATGAGATAGGTGCCACTTGGAGAGGTAAAAATTCTCATATGGTTTTTCTAGACCAGTTTTTTTTTTATGGGGAATCAGAATATGTGAGGTAAAAGGGGTTTAATCTGGGAACTTTTGCGTGAGCGCGCTTTTTTCAAAATGGTCGCGAAAATCCAATAAACTACATATATATGGGTAAAATAAGCACGGAAGGGGTGGTTTGGCCAACCTTTGTTTCACATCTTGTGAAGAAGGTACAACAACAAAAGTAATACGGACTATGATCGTGAACTTCGTTACTAAGTAGCCATATTTATTCAGCAACATATTTATGTATTGCGCCCTCTGTGGGTCATACAGTACAATATTGTAACATCCTTCCCTTTTTAAGAAATGAGTTATTTTGAAAATTACAGTTGTGAAGTATTATTATCATTGAATAAACGTTACTGGTATTTGGTCATTATCACTATCTGTTTCTGTGATTCTTTAGTTAGTAACTATATATGATATAATATTCATTATGGGCCTCGCAAGTAACTTTATAAAACATAACTTTTAACTTGTTCTTTCTTTATCTTTCTTTCTGTAGTTTTTTTTTATTTTATTTTTTTTTTACTTTAAAAAATCTAAAAACATAACATCAAATGTAACACAGTTGTAATAAAACTTCCAGTACTGGTTGCTCTGTATCTGAATTATTTTGAGTTATTAAACTGAGTGTCATATATTTAGTAATGAGTACAGTTCAGATATGGAGTTTGATTAAGTTGTAGTTATATAATCTTTCAAATAAGTTGGTCGTCGTTTGATTCTGGACGATCGGCGCTGCTGGGTCATCTGGTGGTTGTTCTTGTTTGGTGTCTGTGGTTTGGTTTCCAGTGTTTGTGGCTCGGGTTGTTTGATGATACCACTTTTTGATGTCGGTGTTGGTTGTGGTTCTTGAAGCTGTCTGTCTATGTGAGTATCTATGTCCATAAACTGCATTGATGGTGTTGTGTCTGGTGGTGATTCAGGCGTTTTTCTTAGGTATATTCTGTTTCTCCTGTAGATGCCTGTTGGTGTATCCACCTCATAAGATCTTTCATCCAATCTTCTCGTGACTACTCCTTTCTGCCACTCTTTATGTCCTAGTCTGTGAGGTTTAAGTCGCACTGTGTCACCTTCCCCTAGTGCTGGCAGGCCCGTAGCCAAGTCATTTCAGGGGGGGGGGGTTCTCTGGGCGTGGGGTCCAGGGGTCTGCCTAAGGGCCACGGTGGGGTCGTGGGCGAAGCCCCCGAAGCCAGAGCAGTTTTTGTGTTTAATGGGTCTATAAATGATGTTTTAAAGCAGTTATGTTTTGAAAAATATCTATGAAATAAAAAGGTGATAATATAATAAAATTATAAAATATTTTCTGAGAATTGGCATGTGTAAATAACACCGAAAGATATAAAAAAAAACCCCTCATCGCACAATCAATATCAATATACTCAACACATCTATTATTATTTAAAAAAAAGCTAAGTTCTTCTTCCTCCTCTTCCTCTTCTTCTTCTACTACATCTTATTTACTCTCATTTTGTACACTGAAAATAATAGTACTATTTTACTACATGGCTAAAAAAGCACAAATATTGTCATTAGGCCTACTACTGACAGGGCCATCGTTAAATTAAGTCAGAGCCCAAAATATAGCATCATATTCAATAAGTTATCTGACATCATGAGAACCTAAACTTTAATACAATTATTTGTTATATACTAGGCCTAATTAGAAATTAATATTTTAAGACTTTAAACATAATAGGCTACATACCGTACTGATTAATAATAGCTGAGATTTGATGCACATTTTAGAATTAATAATCGTTTTTATTATATCTTCCTGAATATTTATTGTCTGCCAAATGAAATATGAATTATATGCATCTTTAGAAATACAATTTCTACAATATTAATCTTGTTTTTATATAGATAAATGTTCGATAAATTATATCTTTCATGAAAAAAAACAACGAAATTCAGCGCGTCTATTTTCATTCTAATCAATGGCGTTTGTAAACGTGCACTGACGTCATCGTCGAATTCCAGGACTTTCAGTGGTAAAGCTGGCCTGCCTGCCCCAGTACCAGGCCAACCAATAATAATTAACAATTTTTTTTTTAAACATAGGCCTATAGTGCATTTTGTACATGCACTTCAACTTTCACAACAAAATCCTAGGCCTAGTACCTGTAGTACTGTCGTCCTACTGTACTTAGGCCTACACCAGTTTGTCATCGGGATATAATTCTGTCTCTAAATGAACGAGCAGAACCTAGCTAGTCAGAATCTAGGCTAGGCAAATTGATTTTGAAATCAATAACCCTTTTTCTTTGCAACAGCGGACGAAAAAATTGGTCCGGGCTAAAATTGGTCCGGGGACCGATTTTAGCCGCTAAAATTTGTCCGGGGGGACTGATTTTGGCCGGCCAAAATCAGTCCTCCTTGGATAATATTGGTCCGGCCTGGACATTTTGGATTAGCCTAAATCGATCCGCCTACACCTGCTATAGTGCTACACTATACGAGTTCGTACGGAAATCGGAATAAAGCCACCCCTGTCCAATTCCACCCCTGTCCAAAGCCACCCAACAGTGGATTATACCATTGTAAGGTAGGGGTGGTCGACAATGGGGTGTTTGTCTTGATGCTGGTCTACAATAGGTTTTTGCTGCAGTGCTAGGAGTGTCTTTGTATCAGCTTTTGTGTATTATGAATTAGAAACTGGGTGTAGTCCACATAGGCATAAACATCATCAGCTTCTCCCAATGATGCAATTGAGTGGTTTCTAGAAGGAAATGTATATATATCTTATACACATCT